CCCAGATAGACACCATGTACCTCAGGTCTCACTGAGTGGACATTTGATCTTTTCATCCTTACCACCTTTGAAGGAGCCACTATTTTCTTTTCCTTTTATTTCCCAACTGAGCTAACTGGCCTGAAGGAGCTACTATTTTCATCTCTCTTTTACCCACAGGAAACGGAGGCACAGAGAGGGCAGGTGACTGGGCCAGGAGTGCAGCTGGCTCCCAAACCCACAGCGTCACAGCCCCCAGTGCCCTGCATCCAACCGGCTCCGCAGGCCATGCGAGTGCCCTCCAGCCCCTCTCCACTCCCCACTCCACACACACACTCTTACCAGATCCACCTTGCATAAGCCAGGTGACAGCTCAGAGGCTCACCCTGCCCAGATGTCCCAGATCCCCAGGAACCCCTACTTGACCTCCTTTGGCAATAAACTGGAACATAAAGTTTCCCCCCGGTGTACTGGGGTGGGTGTGGGCCTGCTCCAACAGCCCCATTATACATCAGTTGAGGCCACAGGGCCACTGAGGGCAATGAAAGTCCAGAGAGGAGGAGGGACAGGGAGGAGGGGGGCCAGGGATGCCCTCTGGATGCATGGGAGTGGGTGGAACGGTCTGGGTCCAAGCCAAGCCTCCCACTCCCCTTCACCTGCCCTCCCTGCTAATGCTCCAGTGGCCTCCCGATGAAGTCCAAACACAAACCCCACCTGAAATGGCTTCTCCGCTCCCCTTCATTTACCTAACATTCACAGGGGCTCGCGTGTGTCATCAACACTACCCTAGGTGCCTTACAAAAATTATCTCACCAATCCTTATAGATATCCTACACAGTAAGTACTGGGATTATCCCCACTCTACAGCTAAGGAAACTGAGGCACTGCGTGACAGCAGAGCTAGTACTTGGTAGTGTCAGGAACTGAACCCACGTCATGCAGCTCCAAAGTCTGTGCTCTAACTGCTCTGTTGTGCAACCCACTTCTCCGTCCGCCATTTCCGTTCTCCTAAATGCACCTAACTTCTCACCCCACCTGCCCGTTCCCACTTTCATGCCTTTGTGCTCAATGTTCCCTCTGCCTGGAAGACACTTCCCTCCTTATCCTGACAGGTGCTGCTTCTTAGATATCCCAGTGTCACCCTCCCTGTGAAGCTGCCCTTGACCCAGCTTGCCCTCCTCCAGCTGAATCAGGCAGCCTCCTCTGTTCACAAAGCACTTGGTACACACCTCCATGTAGACAGCTCTGGGACTGGGGGGCTCCTTGATGATGTGGACAGGTTCTCACCTGATCGTCCCATCTCTGGATACCCAATGTCTGGTAGAGGACTTTGTCCAGCTCAGGAAAGGTTGATGAATGAGGGACTGGGGCAGAAAGAAATCAGACTCTACCCCTTGCCCTCCAAAAGCTCATAATCTGGTGGGAAAATTGACCTATCAACAGCAGCCCAGATCCAAAGGCATCAGAGTTCCCAGGAGGCACCAAGGGCCTTCAGTGCCACAGGCCCAAAAGGAAGAGGCCGTGCTTGCCACTGGGAGAAGTGGGCCGGCTTTTCAGAGGCATCGGCTTGTGAGAAGGGACTTGAAGGATGGAGACGATCCCTACCGGGCAGGCGGGACACATGCAGGCAGGAGAGACAGGGAAAGGACTCAAGGCTGGCAGGGATGGAGGCAGAGAGGTAGGAGAGCACGAAGCATTTTGAGGGCTTGATGAGCTCAGTGGATGGGGCCCAACCGCCCCACCAGATGGGGAGCTGCAGGAGGGAGGAGCGTCCCTGCCAATGCCTCACACAGGGCCTGCATGTATGGACGAAGTGGAAGAATTAGTTGGAAGTAGATATCCTGGGGTGTGGCACCTCATACAGTTCAGTGGCCCTATTTAAGAAAAACTGCAAAAAACAAACAAACAAACAAACAAAACAAAACAACAACAACAAAAAAACAAAACCCTGCAAAATTACTAATAGAAATGGAGATGTGAAAGTGAATGTCTATCTGCCATAAGAATGGGAGGACCTGCGGGGCGCGGTGGCTCAAACCTGTAATCCCAGCACTTTGGGAGGCCGAGGCGGGTGGATCACGAGGTCGAGAGATCGAGACCATCCTGGTCAACATGGTGAAACCCCATCTCTACTAAAAATACAAAAAAATTAGCTGGGCATGGTGGCACGTGCCTGTAATCCCAGCTACTCAGGAGGCTGAGGCAGGAGAATTGCCTGAACCCGGGAGGCGGAGGTTGCGGTGAGCCGAGATTGCGCCATTGCACTCCAGCCTGGGTAACAAGAGCGAAACTCCGTCTCAAAAAAAATAAAAAAAGCCGGGCGCGGTGGCTCAAGCCTGTAATCCCAGCACTTTGGGAGGCCGAGGCGGGTGGATCACGAGGTCGAGAGATCGAGACCATCCTGGTCAACATGGTGAAACCCCGTCTCTACTAAAAATACAAAAAAATTAGCTGGGCATGGTGGCTCGTGCCTGTAATTCCAGCTACTCAGGAGGCTGAGGCAGGAGAATTGCCTGAACCCAGGAGGCGGAGGTTGCGGTGAGCCGAGATCGCGCCATTGCACTCCAGCCTGGGTAACAAGAGCGAAACTCCGTCTCAAAAAAAAAATAAATAAATAAATAAAAAAAATAAAAAAAAATAAAAGACTGGGAGGACCTGCCTTTTAACAGCCCTGGGGCCTGAAACTGAAGCTGCTGCCTCTGGTGAGAACGTAAGGAAGGTAGATTCTTGGAAGCAGTGGAGCATCAGGCAGAAAAGGCTAATGTTTTTGAGCGGCCTTGCTCTCTACCACCTCCCAGACCAGCCACCATGACCACCTCTGTCATGCTTCATGGAACTCCTCAGCCACCAAAAGGCCAGATTCCCCAGCTCACAAGATCCCCTCCCCTCTGGAAGAGTGGCCAGAGGGCAAATGTGGGTGTCTGAGACCTGCTTGCTGGTCACCTCCTGATGACCTTGGCCATGCCTCCCCCGACACACCCCAGCGCCTCAGGGGCCATGGGGGGGTCTGTTCTGAAAAGCTCCTTTTCATTCTGACATCCTGCTCATCTGAGCCGGCTGAGGCTTTCACAGCAGGGGCAGCCAGATAACTCTCTGAGAGCCTCATTCATCCCCCGGTGCTGGGATCCCACAAGGGCAGGCCACGTACCAGGCTGGGTGGTGGTGAGTGGGAGGGAAACCAGACGTGGAAATCAGTCATTACAGAACCTTCAAGTTGAGGGAGCTCAGACCACAGGCAAGCAGCCTAGGGGAGTTTAGGAAGGCTTCTTGGAGGTGGTGATAATTCTTGGAGTAGGTGTCAAGTAAATAATTGTTGAATAAATGCCCCATCTCTCATAAGGAGAGGGCACCCCGAAGTCCACAGCCTGAACTTTAGCCTCCAGCTAAAGTCGTATTTGTTCTTCCAACCAGTCTCTCAGCCATAGGCTGATGCCATTTCATTTGCAGGGAATGCCCATGCTTCATCCTCTGAAGCCTGCTGCCGGCCCAGTCCCTCGCCTGTTTCCCTGGCAGGTAGCACCTTTATTCTCCTTTTATAGATGAGGAACCAGAGGCTCACAGAGGGAGTGTAACCTATTAAAGCCACACAGCTTTACCCTGGAATTTGATAGTGATGGGTGGATAGAACTCTGTGCCAGCTGTGTGGTCTCAGGAATGTCACTTAGCCTCTCTATGCTGAGTCCTCCTCTGTGAAATGGGGCACCTATCACAGCATAAGGTTGGTGTGAGGCTTACAAAGAGGCTGTACTGTGCCACCAACATTCTTTAGCCCCCCCTCCCAAGGCCAGCTAGTGGCTTTCACATGGCTACTACCCCACTCCCCCATTGGCACACATTAAACTCATTCATACTTCCATTCCCTCCAATGTCTTCTCTGCACCTGGTTTGTGCAGACACACCGAAAATGGTTCCTTGGTTGAGCATAGGGCCTGTAATCCCAACACTGGGAGACCGAGGCAGGAGGATCTTGGAACCCAGGAGGAGATCGAGACCAGCCTAAACAACATAGTGAGACCCTGTCTCTACAAAAAATTTTAAAAACTAGCCGGATGTGGTGGTGCACGCCTGTAGTCCCAGCTACTCCAGATCTCCTAAGCCTGGAAGTTCGAGGCTGCAGTGAGTCGTGATCGTGCCACTGCACTCCAGCCTGGGCCACAGAGCGAGACCCTGTCTCAAAATAAAATGAAATGTAAATACAAATAAATAAAGACGGCTCCTGCACCCAATGCGCGGGGTGTGAAGGGGCGGGAGCAGACCGCAGATGCATCACGATTCGAAGTGTGTGTCCTCACAAAACTCTGCTCTTGAGTTCATATTTTTAAAACTGGCCACGACGCTCCTCCCGGGGATGGGTGCGGGGAAGGGAGACTTGTGGAAGACAATTTCACTCCTTATTTCCAAAAACTTATTTTTCACCGCTTCCTGGAATATGAACATTTGAACATTTCCCAGCCCAACTCTCACCTCTGAGCGCCGAGTACTAGAAACTGGGGAGGAGCAAGGTGACGGTGACATCCCACCACTCCGGCGGGCTCGCTGCAGCATCCCTGGGACCGCGCCCCCGAGTATCCCCCCTCGCCTCCACCTTGCCTCGCCCCCGCTTCTTTTGCGGCCCCGCCCAGTGCTCCTTTCCCATGACCCCCGCAGTTCCCGCACAGCAGTCCCCGCGCTCCCGTCCCAGACGAGCCAGCCCTAGCACCTCTCCTTCCATCCGGGTCCCGAGGCCAACCCCTCCCCGGCTGGGTCCGTTCCGAACCCCCAGCCCCGCCATTGTCCTCCTGCAGCCGCACCTCTCCATTGTCCGCCCCGCCCTCTCCGAGATAGAGTCTGCGTTCGGAGGGCGCCGCTCAGCTCCCACCCTCGGATTGGCTCCTACGGCCCCACGCGCGGGGCCGGGGAGGGGAGCCGGCGTGCGCCCCGCCCCTGCCTGCAGCCGGCCGGGGCGGGGTCTCTGCTGACTCCGCCCACTCCGGGCGGGGCCGCTCTGCCTGGCGCTCGGGCGCTCGGGCGCTGGGCGGCGCTGCCTCGGCTGCGCTCGGGCTGCGGCTCCGGTGGGGGTCGGCGGCGGGGTTGACAGCGGAGGTGGCGGCGGCGCGTTGCTGAGCGAGCGGGGGAAGAGGAGGAAGTGGATCCGCGGCAGGGAGCTCGGGAGTCGGCCGCCGCGCCGAGGTCCGCTCCGTTTTGCGAAGCGAGCAGAGTCGGGACCTGGAAAGACTTCTCCGCCGGGCTCCGGCCGCCGCGCCTCCCCGCCGGCGCCTGCCTTGCCCTGCCCTGCCCGTCCCAGCCCCGCGGTCCGGGGTGTGCGGCCGGGACGCGCGGAGCCCCGGCCCTGACCCGCTGCGCCGGGGCGGGACGCTCCCAACCCCGCGGTGCGGTCCGTGGTTGCGGGGTCGCTCCGCGCTGTTCCGTCAGTGAGGGTCGGAGCCCCCGCCCCGGGGCCAGCGCAGGGTGGCCCCAGGCCCTCGACTCCGGTGCGCGGGACCCCGGACGCCCCCCGCCTCTGGCTCCACGAGACCCCAACCTTCAGTGGCCGCCGCCCGAGTGCTTCGGACTTAGAACCGCGCGAGCGCGGGGGAAGCCGGGTCGTGCGCTCCGTGAGGGGTCCTAGGCGGGCAGGACAATCGGATCGAACTGCCGGGCTGGTGCCGCGAGCCCAGGCTGCCCCCTTCCTCCCTCCTCTGGCGGGGGACTCAGCGCCTGCCCCGAAGATAACACAGGGGACCCCTTCTGTCCCGGCGGCCCGCGAGAGCCAAGGCTGCAGGTGAGAGCCCCGGATGCGGGACAGGAGGGGTCCCCGACCCCATCGCGGCAGCGCATGGGGCACCGAAGGAATTGTCGGTCGTGGGGAACAGGCAGAGGCTGGAACTAGCTGGGAGAGGGCGCGGGAAGGGGAGGGGAGAGAGAAAACGGGCACTTATTGAGCGCCCATTGTGTGCGGGTCCGCGACCTGCCCCGCCTAAGGCTCACTGCTGCTCCTGTAATAGGTGTTGTGTATTGTTATCGGTGCTTGCAGATGGGGAAACTGAGGCTTAACGGGGCTGAATGACCTCTTTTCACTGCGGGGAGGAGACTGGGGAAGCGGGAGAGGATAGAGGGGGAAGAAGCAGAGCATTGGAGCGCTGATCCTAAGGCTGAGGAAGCGGCTTCTTCTCGCCTCCCGCTTCCTGGCCATGTCACCCCCTAGGAAAGGTGACCCAGAGTTGAAGGCAGAGGTGGGAAGCTTCCCAGTTCCAAAGCTTCCCACCCTGTGTGCCCAGGATGTGAGAGCAGCAGCTCCTGGTCCTTGTGTGTCAGACTCTAGGGTCTCTAAGACACTCTGGAGGTCCTGAGGTGTGCTTATCTGTTGGTGAACTCACTGCAGAGATCCCCAAGTAAGGGTCCCTCAGAGCTGGAGATGTGGCCCCTCTGGGGTGGCTGGAGATGGGGCTCACTTGGCTTACCTCCCTCACATTGCTAATGGGGACACTGAGGCCCGCCTGAGGGGAGTGTCAATTGTCTGGTCCTAAAGCCACTAAGTCCTTGAGCCAGTAGTAGACTTGAGAAAACCTTCCTGAGCATCCTTCAAGATATCCACACTCCTCCCTAGTTAGGATCTTCTGGATAAGTGGCTGGGGCTTTCCCTATCCCTGATGTGAGATCTGGGCCATCATGTATGAGGCTGTGGTGAGACTCAGTGTGGTTGGTGCTGGGGCCCCAAGGAATGCCTGCAGCCCCACCATAGCCTTTGGCCCAAATGGAAGGTCCAACCTCATTGTCTCTAGGGCATGGGAATCTGGAGGATACCTCTGCCCAGGAAGGGAGGGGCCTGCTCAAGGTCCCAAGGCTTCCAGGGCTGGGGCACAGTCCCAGGTGTCTTGATTCCCAGGCTGGGGATGCTTCTGCTGCCCCTGAGGCATGTAGGGAGAGGGGTGTTGTGAAAGAGCCCTTGGCATGGACTCTGTGGGCTCTTGTTCTGTGTGGGGAGGGGGAGGGGATATGGCCTTGGTCTGGCCCTGTGGCCTTGGCTAGGACTAGTTAACCCTTGATGTGCCCAACTCCCTGGAGTCAAGGGGAAACCACCTTGTAAGGTGGAGGAGGGTGGTGAGAGGTCAGTGGAAGTCTGGAATCTCAATCCCTGGGGTTGGAGGGGTTGGCGGAACCCAAAAGAGAAGGTGACTGAGGGGCTTGGGATTCCCTCTACCTCTTCCCTCCATCCAGGGATTCAAATCCTCACAATAATCCCTATATCTAAACAAAGCTCTTTGATGGAATAATTTTACACCTGTGAGCTCCTTTTATAATGTGGAGAGAGCCTGGAACCTGGAGTGGAGCAGAGGAGGGTTGTGGAGTTGCTTGGGACCTCTTGATGCATCCATGGTTCCAAATGCCATCTTAAAATGGGTTATGGCAGGCTGTGTGTTACCTGCTCAGTTAGTGGGTCCATCGCCTCCAGCTGTCAAGTGCTAAGGGGTATGTTGTACTTGCCAAGATTGAGCTGGTTATTAATGGCTCAGTCTTGTATGGGAAACTGAAGCTCAGAGAGGGAAACTGAAGCTTAGAGAGGCGAAACCACATACTCAGGGACTTTGAGTTTGCTTGCAGAACTGTTTGAGTGCCAACTGCATACCAGATGCCCTGGAAGTTACCCAGATGGGGGAAGCGGTAGCCTTGAGCCACAGTAACTGGTGAGCCCCAGACAGTGGTAAATCAGACAGACCAGGTGGGCGTGAGTCTGCTCTGCCTCCCACTAGTTGAGTGGCACTGAGCAAATCACTTCATCCCTCTGAGCCTGTAAAATTAGAATACCTCCTTTAGCAAGTTGTTGTGAGGACTAAATGAGCTACAAAGATGCAGTGTCTGGCCAAATATCCGTTTCCATCCCTGTGAAGAAAAGGAAGCTTGAAGTTTGATCAGGAAGTCTGGGGAAATTCTCAGACTTGCCTTAGATTAGAACGCAGGATACAGTTGCAGGCTCAGAGGCCTAAATTTGCTCAGCTCAGGCTGTGTTGTGGGTCACACTCCCCTAGTCTCATACTCTCTAGAATCAGTCTGCCTGGGGACACTGGCATGGGGCTCTGGATTCTTACCCCTTCCTTTGGCTTCCTGCTGGCAGGGCTGTGGTGCCTGGACCTGGTGTCCATTCCATCCCGCCCATTGTCTGACCTCCCTAGGCACCAAGGTGCAGTGAATAATTTATTACTCCCCTCAGCTGGGGGCAGGCTCTGGAAATAGCTCTGTGCTCAGTGAGCTTCTGAACCCCACCAGAGGAGGTGGGGGCTCCTGTCTAGTGCTGTTAGCAGTCTTGGATATGGGGGCGCAGGGAGGATAGGACAGGGAGAAAGTATCATCTGGTCCCCGACAGGAGAGAGCTGGGGTTGATGTCCTGTCTCTCCTTTTGGGGGCCAGATGGTCCCACAGGTGACTCTGGGAACCAGGCTAGCTGAGCTAGAATCAAGTGGGCCTCTGATTCCAGAGAGGTGGTGAGGGGGAGGGGCAAGGGGAGTAGAGGGTGGAAAGGGGTGGAGGGGAGGCCCTTGAGGACTGGGGTAACCAGGAAGGCTTTGTCAGGGAGGTGGCTGTCTGAGCAGGGGCTGGAGGCCACTTGCTCTAAGTGGAGAGCAAGGTCCTGACATCCCTCCAAGAATGAATTCTGGCTGTGTCACCTGCTCACCGTGAGAGCATGGGCAAGACACATGACCCCATCAGGCCTCCATTTCCTCCTCTGTGAAATGAGGGTTGTGATGTCCACTTCTCAGGGCTGTTATGGATGATCTTGAGGTCACATGTGTGAAACATATGACACTATAGACACTCAACAAGGGGGTGCCTCATCGTGAGTGTGAATCATGGGTGGGCCAGTGGCGGGGTAGGTGGGATGGCGTGGTAAACCAAGAGGCAGGGAGAACTTGGGGCAAGGAGGCTGGCTTGGTGGAGTTAGTGAGGGGTAAAAGCTCAGATGGGAGAGGGCCGTGAATGTCGGACAGAACTCACATTTCACAAAGCGTAATGGAGCCCCATTTAGAAGCCTCTATGGCTCCCTACCAACTGTAAAATGAAGACCAGGCCCTAGTTATCGTGTTCAGGTCCTTGCCCACCGTGGCCTCTGCCCTGCCCTCTGGCTCACTGCTCTGCACTGTCTTCTAAACACACCACATGTGGCTCTATCGCAGCCCCTTTGCTTGTGGTTCCTCCCGTCAGAACCGCCATCCCTGCCTCTTTTCCACTCATCTCCCCACCTGTCAAGACCTGACTCAGGTCGTAAATTCCCTCAGAAACATTCCTGGATTACCCAACTCTCTGGCTATGCCCCCTCTGAATCTTCAGCGTTCAACAGTAATAGTAAAAAATAATACCTACCATCCATAACATTTTGCAGTTTGTAAAATATATCCACACAATACTACAGTGATGATACCAACAGTAACAGATACTCCTGAGTACTTATTATGAGCCAGACAATGTGCTAAATGCTTTATAGACACTCTTGTTCACACAAACTCACTGAGGTAGCTACTGTTATCCCCTAGAAACTGGAGCTCAGAGAGGTACCTGATCTTGGCCAAGGTCACACAGCTTGGAGGTGGGGATCAGGGAGCCAAGCTGCATCTGTTTGAATTGTAAATCTGTGCTTAGAAGATGTCCTGTCTCACTTCCACACAAGTACCTCGAAAGCATACTTTGCATGTGAAAAGCCTGGACAAGGCTTTTTCTCAAGGCTAAGGAAGGGCAGTGCTGGAGTGAGCATGGAGCCCAGGAAGGACGTGGGCCCCAGGCTGTGCACAGGCTGGCTGTGTGACCTGAGATGAGTCGGCCCCTCTCTGGGGTCCGGTGTGCCCATGTCCAGGGGCAGGAGGGTGAGATCTGAGCTCCCCTGTAGCCCCAGCTTTCTACAGCGTCCTTCGTGACCCTGGAAGGAGGAGGAGGAGACCACAGCACCAGGGCCAGAGGATGTGATGTGACAGGCAGCTGTGATTTTTGGCCTGGCTGCTGTCTGGGCCAGCAGGCTCTGTGGGTAGCTGCTCCCTTGCCCGAAGGAGGGTGGTGGCCTGAGCTGCAGACAGCATGGTCATTAGCTGGCAGAGAAGACCCTGTGATTGGGAGCTGGCTGGGCCAGGCCAGGTTGGCAGGACTGGAGGCAGGCTGACCGGGCCACAGTGGGGTCACTGGCAGGGCAGCCAGCTTCGCCTCCCTTTGCCCCCTTTGGGGTGGTGGCAAACACACACTGGGCACCAGAGCTTTGAGGCCAAGGCTTGCCCTTTCTCCTGCTGTGACCATGGGAAGGAGCAGTAAGGAGTCCAACCAGGCCCAAAGATGCCACCTTCTATAAGCTTCCAGGACTCCTCCCATGCAGGTGGAATTCAAGCCTCCTCTGCTGCTGAGCCACAGCCCTCTGCTCACTGACTGTGGTCTGTGGATTGGGGTTCTGCTTGGTCTGCTTCCTTTGCTGGCTTGTCAAAACTAGATTCTATGCGCCCCCAATCCTCCCGTCCCACTGAGTGCCTAGCAGCGTGCCTGGCACAGAGCTGCACCCCTCGGGCCAAGGGAGGCAGTGCAAGCTGCCCCTTGGACAGCTTGCTCAACTTTTGTGCCTCTCTTTTTTCCCCTGTAAATTGGGGCTGGTAATAACTTATTAAATGAGATGAAGAAAGTGAGATGCCTGTCCAGGCCTAGCACACAGGTGGGTACTCCATCAGCATGAGTCCTCTTGCCCATCCTCTTGATGGCTTCGTGAATGAGCGACTCAGTAAGAAGCTGATGGAAGAGTCCAGTGGGTGATGGCAG